TTTTTACCCTCTTTTTTCGAAAAAATCCATTTTTTCCTCTTTTCTCACGAAGAAGTAGGTCGTTGACAAAAATACTCATGAATATATTGATTATTGTTACCGTATCATACAAAAATATCACATAACAAACTGATGTGCTGATCAATCAAGTTGCATAGCTAAGGAAGCTAAAGTATATGCTTTTAGTGATCAACTTCAGCGATATTATATATTCATAATCGGAACCCAATTTTTGTAGTTCTTTAGCGGAAGCAAAAGCACTCAATTATGTTTCCAATATGAAATCGTCATTCTCTCACGATCTTAACATGTTTTTGTGTACTCAAAAAGTGAGTACACTCTAGAATCGGTTAGTGTGTCCGACCGTTTACATGATAACTTTTGAAAGGAGAGTCCGATTGCGATGAAATTTTCTACACAGTTTAGTCTCAATAATATCTCGGTTGAGTTCGAAGATGAGAATGATTCGTCAAGCCGTTCCTGAATTATTGCAAAAATAGTCATTATTCCCTATGCCTTCCTATGCGAAAATCGACCTATCCCCGCTTTCGTAAGAAACTTTTCCTATCATAGTCAAATAAAACCCCAACTATTATATACCATTCGATAGAAAATTTCACGAGCTACGAAATGGTATATAAAACATAAAGAAACAAGAAGACTAACTCACCTATTGCAAAGATAATTAAACGGGAAATGGTTCTGTTCTTGTCCACGCTCTAGTTGATCCACAATTAGAGCTCTGTCTTTCGATCACAGAGATGATAGTTCGAGATTTTCTGAGTCGGAGAACTCTAATCCAAGCTCCGTTTGCCTTGAAATCCTATTGGTTGAGCAGTAATCGATAGAAATCAAGCTATAGGAAAAAACGACTTTCTTAGGATAAATAAAGGTGAAGAGTTCAAATCTGAGCTGTATTCATCTCTAAATCCTATTGATTGAGCAGTAGCCAATAGAATTCAAGTGTTTTATAGAAAAGGTTTGCCAGGATAATTTTTACGTCCACACATTCTAGGATGACTCATCTGTCTCATTCACTTTTTGAAGTACACATAACTCTCGGGTTTAAATCCGAGGTTTCCACATTTATTCTGGTTAAGATCGACATGTAAAATTATAATCTCGAGCTCACTTTTCTTGACCACTTTTTTCGGCCCCAGAGAAGCTTGTGATATGAATCTAACAATAGATAGGTAACTCGTAGCGTAGCGCATGCTTCAAAGCAAAGAGCTTCTAGGATGACTAGACTCGGTCTAGAATTCTGTCAGATTCAATGGGATTTGTTCGGCAAGATAGCTTCCGATAGTATGATAACATAAGTTGAAGATTTCTGCTTATCAGAAAATGAAGTAACCCCTCTTCCTCTTCTTCCGAGTTTCTTCGTATTCAATCACATTTTGGAGGTTCGTATATCTCCAAACCGTACACGGAGAAATATAATCGTATACGAAGAAATACAAAGTAAAACGAAAAGTATAGACGAGCTTTGTTTGTCTATAAACGATCATATTTTTGCGCATACGATCACGGATTTATACGATCACATTACTGGGCGATATGAAACGCCGTATTTCTCCAATTACGAGCGTGTTTGCTTGACATGGGTTAATATTGACAACGGTTTGATAATACTTGGAAGAAATCGGATATGATGGAATGCAATAGCAACAAACAGGAGTATCCGATAACCAAAACGTAAGAGATCATCCAATCTACTCAACACAAGTAAGTCGTTTTATACAGAGCCCAAGAAGATGATCATATGTCACTGCGAAAAACTAAGCGTTTTCGATAGCACGCGGTCAAATGATTCCCACAAACCTGCTGTCTGGACACAGTTGCAACCAATGTATTAATTTATGTTGAGAAACGGAAAAGTGAAACTGACTTGCGAAAAATGGTCAAAATCACGGAAGAATTGCCAAAAATTGAAAAAGCTCAAGAAAAACTTTCTCACATGCGCAGCCATCCGAAAAAAAGGAACAAAACGCAAAAAAGACATTTAATGAATTTTGATTGTTTCTATTTCTATATACCTACTTAGTTAGACAGTAATATTATACTTAGATACTATGTAGATAGAATATTTAGAATATTTTTCTAATGTTTTCCGGTTTTCTAATAGATAAATAAGCAGCTGCACAAAAATCTCCGAACAATTTGGAAGTTTCGTTTTTGTTTTTCTCTTTTAAGTCATATTCAATCTATACCGATAACGTACGAGTTTTGTCGGATCTATAGTACTATAGTGCAGGTGAGTTTTAGTTTTCTTCGAAAGGAAACTGTACGCCTCTTTTTCTCCTCTTTTTTTTTTATTAAAAAATCTTTTTTTCTTCAAGAACGCTGGGCATCTTTTTTTCTCTTTTTTTTTTACAAAGTGTTGGTGAGATGCCAGATCTATTTCCAAATATTTTTTCACATGATAACTCTTATCTTTCTCTAAAAGATGACGTAATTTGATCAATAACTTCATATTAGTTTGTTGTAGATACTATCGATTTATAGAGAGTGGTCGAAACTTTTGAACCACCCTTTAGAGAATTTTAACATTGAACAGAGCCTATCTGAGCCTCTTTTATCTCCTCAATCTAAGACGATTCGAGCCTACTCAAGCTTTTTCATATGTTTAATTTAGGATAATTCGAACCTGTCCAAGCCTTTATCTGTCCCAGTTTGAGCCTACCCAAGCCTACCCGACTCCAATCTAGGGTAGGCTCGAGCCTACCCAGGCCTCGTGGCTCCGCCGCCTATGAATCACTCCTAATCAATAATAATCACTGCTAATCACTTAAAATCATATCTAATCAAATAATCAGCTGTTTCCCCCTTGTCAACATTACTATAGGCATAAATATCATTTATCCGTTTAGATTGTTTTTGAAGATTAAAATAGTCATTAAAATTTCCATTATTCCATTGTCGACTATCAGTCAGAAAGTGTCTGTTTGAAGTTAACTACACGATATGCAAATACCAGTAATAATTAATTCAGTTCACTACAAAATTCTGGCTTGATGTAAATAATATAGAGAATTTACGATTACTAGCTTCACGAATCCGGCACATAGAAATGTGATCAGATGAACAAACTAGCCTTGTCACTGGAAGTGATAAACAAAAAATTAAATGTGACCTATATTGGTTAGGCATCAGAATAATGATTGTTTATTGGAGTATAAATTCAAGTGACTTAACTATTTTTAACAATACATATCAATTGTGCCGCATATTTTTATCCATCAACTCGTTCTATTGTACCAAGATGCTATTTTGATTAACATGAAGTACTTGTTGTTTCTTCTAAGCCAATGAGACTTTATACACTACCTGATTATTCTTCTGAAATCATATTGTGTTTTATTTATTCATATGAAGCAATATCTTGAAATAGTGTTTTTTTTTCATCGCAGCGCATAGCTAGATTATATTTATCGAATAATTTGTTTGAATTAGCAGAAGCCTCCATGATGCTTCTTTCTAATAAAGAATGCTTGTGACATTCAGCATGTTTTTTTTTGGCGATACTGTTTTTCGATTATATTTCATTTTCGTTAGTGTGATGATACTTCGCAAATTTCAAATAAAATGATTTAAAAGCAATCACATTTACTCTTGGTGAAGAAATAGTTCATATAAATTGCCATTAAATTTTGAATATGTCAATCAATAGATCAATTCTCGCCATACTGTTAGATTATCGTGTGATGAAAATCACAAAAAAAATCGCCTAATTACTAGTCCAATTATTGACTTCATTTACTACGGTCTTTTCCGATAAACCATGATTTATCACTAAAACTGATTCGGTTTTTGTGACATGAATATATATTTCAACAATAATTACAAACATCATATGCTGTTATATCCTCAAATTGACTTGTCTAAGTAGAAATTGACCTTTTCATAACAGATAATACGGATCTAATAGAAAGAACAGAAGATAATTAGTAAAAAATAACCAGTAAACCATTGGAACTGCTGGTTTTTTTTTAAGAATCGTCCTCAACCATCAGTTTTGATAAATGACAGAGTATGGATATTTGAGGATTAGTTTGGAATGATTGATCGATCAGTTCCTAAGTAAAATATTTTAATGCATTTTCAAAGAGATCTGTATCTTCAAATTTAGCTGTGTAATATCTCGAACAATATCTGCTTAATTCTATCATTATTTCTTGAAGAATAATAAAGCCACGTTTCTCTTTTGTCACTGTTTTTCATTGCTTTCAAAGATTCATGTATTCTTTCTGTTTGCATTTGTTAAAATTATTCGATGATGTCAACAGAGAAACATATGCAAATTTGATCACAATAATTCATTGCTGTAAGATGATGAATAACGGTTAGCATCTTAAATGTACTACAGTAAGAATCCACCTGTTTTAATTATTATTTTCAATGTTATTGTTGTACTTGAAAAACATATGGACAAAGATTTCCTATTGCATTTTATTCTTATTTATGTTCGATAGTCAAATATTTCACATTTAAATTTGCAGAAGACAAAGCAAATCAGAATATTTATCGAAGAACGAATAAAACTAACTGATCGATGAGTTATTTTTGTAATTTTATTGACAGAATCTACTTGATATATGTACAGAATTAATAGAAAGAAAATTAAAAAAATTTTCATTAAAACTCATTCTTACTACTCATATTTCCATCAATAACAAAATTTTAAATATTTCAAAATACATTGAATTAAGTATTAATCTTTTTTCTTCATTCGATAAAGACGTGTGTTATTTTGATTCATGCAACTACTTAAATTTGAATACTGTTAATAATCTACCAATGATTAAAATCATACATAATCTTTTAATAGAGCGAATAATATTTTTATCTCGAATCCTTATCAGTAAAAAACCAGAATAAATAGAAGAATGAAAATAGAAAGCATGTGAGATATTAAATGTCAACATCAAGGTGAGCATCTATATATGTCAAGGTAAAAAACAAAGATCAACTCATAGACTAATATAGACCCAAAAAAAAAAATGTTAAGGCATGTAACTTCTATTATACTTTTCTTTATCATCGTTATTCTTCGTCAAAATTTGATTGCAAAAGGTAAATTTTGTCAAATGAGTTTCTTATTCATTTTGGAAATTTATAGTAATTATACTATTTTTATATTTTTGCTTTTTTTTTCTTTAACAAGAATTACGTTGTCGATGTTTAATGAATGATTCAACCTGTTGGCCAAATTTATCAGTTTGGCGAACTTTTAATGAATCTGTCAATGGACGATTAATTCCTGTTCAACCATCTGTTGCATTTTGTACTGGCAATCCACCGAATATTGACGTCTGTGCTAATGCCATTGCTCAATGGACAAATGCTACATGGCGTAGTGATCAAGTTGGAGCTATGCAAAATCATAATTGGGAAAATACTTCATGTTCAGACGACCTAGGTAATGTTACATGTACTCAAGGATCTGTTCCTCGATTAGCAGTAAATGCTACAACTGCCGAACATGTCCAAGCAACGGTACGCTTGGCTAATACGAACAATCTTCGATTAGTAATAAAAACTACTGGACATGATTATTTGGGTCGTTCAACAGCTGCTGATTCTTTACTTCTCTGGCTTCATTATATGAAAACTATAACTTTAGAACAATATACATCATGTACTGGTGAAAATATCTCGAATGCAGTTCGTATAGGTGCTGGTGTACAATGGGGTGAAGCGTATGCTTGGTTATCTACTTATAATTTGATAGCAATTGGAGGTGCATCACCAACTGTAGGAGCTATTGGCGGTTTTTTACAAAATGGTGGTCATGGACCATTGACCCGTTGGAAAGGTATGGCTGCTGATCAAGTTCTTGAATTTGACGTTGTTACTGCCGATGGAGAACGTCAAACAGTTAATGCTTGTCAAAATAAAGATCTATTTTGGGCGTTACGCGGTGGAGGTGGTGGAAGTTTTGCTGTTGTTCTTTCGACAGTTTTACGTACTTTTCCTTCTCCATCCATGGTTAGTATTCTTTACACAATTTCTGCAGCGAATGAAATACGCTATGCTCATTTCATTCGAGACTTTATTCGATTTATGCCAACATTAGCTGATGCTGGCTGTGCTGGCTATTTTTATATGATAGATACGACTATTAGCATTGCATTTTTCGTACCAAATGGAGATCTCACTGTAACTACTGCGATAATCGATCAATTAATGAAGAATTATACAGATTTACAATTTATACAGAATTCTATCGCTACATTCCCATCATTTTACGCTTATTTTTCGCAAACAATGGCTAAATCGAATCCTACCGGTGGCAATGTTCTACTCGGATCTCGTCTCATTCCTGAAACAATCGTTCGTAATCAACCCGATCAAGTAGCTGAAGCACTCTTTCAAACCAGAGGTCACAGTAAAAATCAATCGATGCTAATCGGACATCTGGTAGCTGGTGGACAAGTATCAAATACATTGATTGATAATAGTGTCAGTCCTGGATGGCGTACCGCACTTCTACATATGATTCATGCGCAAGAATGGAATGATAATACATCAGTTGTTGATCAAGAAATTCTTGCTTCACGTCTTCGAACTCAAGTTGATATTCTTCAAACTATAGCTGGTGGTGCACAATCAAGCTGTTATATAAACGAAGCTGATCCGAATGAACCGAATTGGCAACAGAAATTTTTCGGTACACAAGTAAACTATGATCGATTAAAATCCATTAAAAAATCTGTCGATCCAAATGGTCTATTTATTTGTAAGAATTGTGTTGGTAGTGATGACTGGTCCACTGATCTTAATTGTCTGAAAAAATCTACCGCAAATCGAGTCCATATTACAATGCATGTATTTGTTCTCGTGAAACTATTTCAATTTTTCAAATGAAATTCATATGAAAAAAAAAAGAAATTACTATAAATAAACATCAGTTTGTATGGGTGTGGGTGAAGAAAAGATTTCCATACTTACACTCTCGCGAACTTCTTTAATATTTTTAGATGTTATCTCAATTATAGGTCACTAACTATTTCATAGTGAATTCAACAAACCATTCGATGAAACAAATTGTGAACAACTTAAAATTATAGTGAAAAAAATATATATCTCTGATGTCAAGTGGCTGTCTGTCAACAAACTCTAGAGTAACGATTAAAGTCAAACATTACTTGAAGATTCTACAAACCTTCTAGAGAAGTATAACATTTCAAGAAGCTTTGTAGCATTTTCTCTAAAACATAAGATTACTTATGTCAACGATTAAAAGATTAAATAAAAAGAATCATGTGATGAACATTAAATTTAATCAGTACTTGATTAATGTACAGAAAAAATTTTCCATCGAATAGATATTAGAAATAAGTCAAAGTGCATGCGATGGGCTTGTTGCATTACACATACTTGATTGATTTGTAAATGATAAACTTCTCACATTCGCATGAATATCAATCTTATCCACAAGACTCGTTAGATAAAGTGGGCCCTTATGCCAATGATGACCTTGAAAAATTTTATCTCGAATTGTTGTTATTTTTTCTGCCAATTCCTATTATGAGGTTGAACACAATTGAGATTTTTTAAGAACCTTTTAGAAGCAACAGTAATGTTTTTCCAATGATTCAGTTTTCGAATCAATAAATTGAAGAAAAGGAACGTATGAACTAGACCAATATTATTTGAACAAATCTGATTGGATCTGTTCTCTTGGTATGCAATAAGAATTTCCATTGTGAAGAGAATTCGTCGAATCTGTGAAGTTCCATTCAAAAATTTGTTAGTATTTGTTTGAAATTGTACAATTTCACGTAGAAAATTCCGTCGGAACTTGTCAAAAAAATAAATAAACAAAATAACAATAAAATTCCTCATTCTATCGAATGAAGTATCAATCAGAAATCAGATAGATTGATTTGTCTGCGATATTGAAATATCGAGCAATGAGACAAATCGTCCCCATTTATTCTATAATATTTGTCTATTCAATCAATCGATTTCTTCTTCACAATGTTCTCCAATATTCTAATTTTTCTTTTACGACGAATGAATACTATCGAATCTGATATCTTGATTCTAATAATTATTTTATATGAAAAAATTTTACTTTTTATTTTTATAAGATAAGAAAAAAGTTAGTAGGAAAATATTATATACAATTACAAATAAAAGTAGCTACAATAGAATAAAACAAAATTTAACATCGAACACATACTGAATAAGCAAAATGTTTTTCGTTGTTAATCATCAATTGTAAAAAAGTTGATATACTATAGAATTTCAAATAAGACCTAAAATACAATATTCCTTCTTAGTTAATATCTTGTAAAAAGTCGATGTTAGATAAATAATCAGTTACGGACATATGTTCAGAAAGACGGTAGCACTATTATCAGCAAAATTCGTCACAACAAGATCTAGTTTTGTATCGTTATTGAAATCGCCAAGTACAATAGATGATGGATTATTTCCTGTTTTGTATATCTTCTGAGTCTGGAAGCTACCATTACCATTTCCAAGAAGTACACTAATACTATTACTACCCGAGTTAACTATAGCAAGATCTACATTTGCGTCATTATTAAGATTACCCGCTCTGATAATAACCGGCTTTTTTTCTGTTGAATATGTTGTTTGATTCTGAAAGTTTCCATTACCATCACCCAGTAGCACACTTGCACTACTTTTAAAAAAATTAACTATGGCTAGATCTATTTTTCCATCATTGTTAAAATCACTTGATACTACAGAGACCGGAAACATATCTGTCGAATATGTTATTTGAGTTTGAAACGCTCCATTGCCATGGCCCATTAGTATACCAACGTTGTTACTGTCAGCATTCACAAGAGCAAGATCAAGTTGTGAATCATTATTGAAATCACTAGATATGACGGAGAATGCGCTTTTACCTGTCATATACGTCACTTGATCTTGAAAGCTGCCATCACCGTTACCCAGGAGAATGCTAATGGTATTATTATTATTATTGGTAACAGCTAGATCTTGTCTATTATCACTATTGAAATCACCTGATATCGCAGAAGTTGGATTTAAACCTGTAGTATAAGTTTTCGCCGCCTGAAAGGTCCCATTCCCATTGCCGAGTAGCACACTGACGACGTTGGTATCGCTGTTTACCGTAACGAGATCCAATATATTATCACTATTGAAATCACCTGTTATCACAGAATCTGGTTTTGTACCAGCTGCATACATAATCTGATTTTGGAAGGTACCATCCCCTTTACCAAGAAATACTCCGACATTGTTACTACCAGAATTGGCTATAACCAAATCTAGTCGTGTATCACTGTTCAAATCACCCGATGTGACGGAGATCGGGTGAGATCCCGTTGCAAAAGTTGTCCAAAATCCAAGAGTATTTACACAGGGCATCACTGCAAACAGTACAATATTTAAATGAATGCACAACACGTAAAAGTATATTCAACTAATGTAAACACCAGTTCATTTATTTATGAAGTATTCACTTTTTGTTACACTTAAATACAACAATATAGAGTTGACTTACAATTAAGCTTTCATTTTGACTCTATCTATAAAGAATATTATCAATCAATGTATAGATAGATATCCATAGGGAAGATTTACTTTCTAAAGTATATTTTCTGCAAACTGATCTGAGAGAAAATAATTCAAGAATTAAGGAAAATTTGTGAATACTAAAGGAGTGAGTCTCATTCAACAATAAAAAGCAAGATATTGACAAGAATATTATGATCACTGACCAATATATATTTTTATGTCATCCAAACAGAAAAGGGTGGATATATCCGATATGACAGTTAATATTCTTTTCATTAAAAAAGTTGAATATTGCTATTCTTCACGATTCTTAAGAGAATATCCATGAGAAAATCGACGGATGACCCTAGTATATGAGATACTGATCAAAATTTTAATTTTTGATCTTTTTTTTCGTATGTGTTCGAAAGGTTATTATCTGAAAATATCAAATTCAAATTTTTAACTCATTTAGGTGTATTATAGTAAAGTTAACTTATATCGACTTTTGAGTACTACCAATCTGCTATCAAGAAAATAGTCAAAAATCGTCCCATAAATGTTTATTAAAATTATATTTGAACAAGTCAGAGAATTTATTCGTGCAATATATGAAAAGATAGATCATTGATAACTGAAAAAAAAACGGACTATTGAAGTTATTACATATCCTATATTTAGTGAAGCTTTATAGTTTAAAATGAGTGAGAAAGATCATAATTTATGAGTTCATAATAGTTGATATCGAATAGTATATCTACTGCCATTTTTTGACATCAAAATATACCAAGCTAAGTTTTTATACACGATGTAACTTTTTATTCTCTGCAAAATGGTAAAAAAAAATATTCAAAAAAGAAGTTTACCTTTGAGAAGAAACGGAGTTCACATCGTTCTCTCTCACATAATTATTTTTAATAATTTTTCAAAAAAATGTAGGTGTAGGCGAAAGACCTACACCCACATCTATATTACTTTCTCTAGATTAACTCTATTGACGATCTAACTATAATAATATGAGATTAAGCACTAGATCAATTTCTCAGAGTTGAAATTGGTGAACTAGATTTATTTCTAGGTACTAAAAATGGTCAATCATTTCATCAGATTTAAACTGACATGAAGCTGTTATAGTTCGATTCATTTCTAATATCATATCATAGAAGATAAAACCATGTATTCACCGAAAAAAAGCAAAACATAGAGATTAACTAATTTCGACAAAAGATTCGAAGCTTGCATATTAAAGCCTCTTTTCATAGATGAAAAATTGAAATTGATTGACTGCATACTAACAAGACAAAGTAAGTAGCATAAGTTAGAAGATAGTAAAAGTTTCGTGTAATTCATGATTAGCTGTATCCTATCGAGGCTTTCTTGTGCTATTTGAAAATAGTTTCATGAAAAAAAGCTTGTTAGCGCAGCGCCTCCTACAGGGCTAAAATGTGAAACTCACATATGCTCTCTAACCTCATTAAACGAATACAATATACATAAAATGAGAAATCTCTTCTACACTATAGTTGCTGTACAAGATAATCGATCACCAGAGTAAGAACCTCTATAATTTCTGTATTTCAAACAGGAAACTTTTTATTTTTTTCATAGGTATCCTATTTTTTGTTTGCATTATTGCTATTCGCTTATTATTTTCAATTTTTTTTTTGAATTCGTTTTCTTAATTTAATATTCTTATTATTATAATCATTGAATTAATTGACATATAAGTCTGTTTTATATATTTATGATATCTACAGCAGATCTTACGCACTATTATATATTCATCAACTCACAAACAATAATATTCGTTATTTTGTCAAACTTATAACTTGATCAATTTCTAAAAAAAAAACTCTAGAAAGTCTGACGTATGTTATTCTCAATTGCTAAAGTCTATAACGAAGAGTGCCTGTAATGAGGAGGGTGGCTATCCTAGTTACTGTGGTTTGTAATGGGAAGGGATGGATAACCGCAAAAAATTGCTCTTAAATTGACATTCACCATTTTCTTCGAAAATATATGTGAGTTTCACAAAATGACAGATACTTGTGCTAAAAATCATGAAACAAGAAAAGCAAAACTTTTATATTTTGTTATTCTTTCTTGCAATCCTATACAAACAGATTGATATGATAAATTGTGAAGTGTCCTTGAATGAGTCTGATTAAAATAGAACTTGATATGAAGACTCACATACAGAAAATCATAATGATAAGACAACTAACCGGTTGTTGTTGTTGTTGTTATGATATTTGAAGTAGTTGCTTCCGTTGAGTTTATTGTCGTAAAGTTTGTTGGATTTTGTTTGCTATGTTTTAGTCCAATACCCAAGCCTAAACCCAGTGCCATGACGAATATCAGAATAATAGTACTACTTCCCACAATTATTAGTAAAGATAAACGCTCCCGAGAACTGGCAGATTTTGGTACGATGATCAAGGGTACCCTCATAATTATTAACAACAAGTAAACAGTATATTTTGTACACAGGTAATTAAACCTTTTTCTTTGCTCGTGATGCGTTCTCTATTTAACCTTTAGATACGGTTGAATTATACACACATGGAGAAGAGAAAGAAAAGAGAATCGATCAGCGGCCTTCGACGTGGTGACATGGTTGTTATGAAAAACAAAAGGCATTTTGACGAGTTTTTTTCTATTACCATGCTTCATAACCATGTTGAGGGGCATTTGTCACACACATGTATAATGTGTGCATACGTTAATTATCTTTTTTTTCTTCTTTTATATGCTGCGTTGGTCCTCTGTTTATTCGTGTCGCATACTTTCATTCACTATTTGAATAAAACCAAAGTGAGTTAATCGTTCTTTTACACACATGTCATCACTAATTTATATTTACGTTTGATCACAAGGTTTTCATCTTGAAATCACTATTTGTTAGATAGTATGGCAAATATTTTAATTGTGGTATGAATTTGGCTAATCAATTTATCTTGGAGAATTATCTGCAGAGACTGAAATAGCTATTTAGAGCTATGTAAAAGTGGCGCCGGTGATAGTTTATTTCCATATCAAAGACTTAAGGAAGCTTTTACTTTATATGCAGTGATAGTACAAACAATGGTCTATTTTTTCTATGGCATTTGATCATTCTTCAACTAATATCATAATAATAAAATTTCAATAAGAACTGTTTCTTATGATATGTGACAATAATATTAGGTCATATTGTCTTCGATGTGTATGTTCATTTTACTCTTCTCCTCTTTTTTTTTCTGTTCTTTCTCATCCCTGCGAGTTGCCTAACCGTTTACACACACATATATATATATATAAAGACACGTGTCCCATTTATTTTTTTTTCTTTTTGTGTATGTTTGATTTATTAATGTGTTCTCGAGAGAGTTAAAAAAATAAAATTACATTAAGCCTTAACACTATTCATTGTTGTTTTAAATGAATAGAGAAAAATTTTTCGTTCTACATTAAAGTGTGTACTGACCTTATATTATGTTTTCGACGATGAACCTTCTCTTCTTCGGACAGTTGAAAGATTGTCTAAATGATTTCGTGAAAGTGGTGAAGAGATTAAAGATGAAGTACGATCTGGCAAACCTAAAATCGAGACAACACCTAAAAATATTGAACAACTCTGTAGTCTTGTAAACGATGATTCCCATATTACAACAGAAACTGATCGGGATTATGACACTATTTACCGAATAATTTTCGTTCATCTGAAGCTTAAAAAAATTATCGCTTGTTACATGTCGAAGCATCTAACTGGTTCTCAACGAGCTGAACGACTTTGCATATGCAAAAAAAATTTAGCGAAAACTCGAACAAGACATATGGCGATTATGTGACATAGTGACAGGCAACGAGTTGTGATTTTATTACCATAATCTATATAGACGGCTAGGCATAAGAAGAAACGAGAAAGAACAAGAAAAAAAGAGGAGAAGAGCAAAATGGACATACACGTTGAAGACAATATGATCTAATGTGATCATCATATATCATAAGAAATAGTTCTAATCGAAATTTTATTATTATGATATTAGTTAAAGAATGATCAAATACTATAGAAAAATAGAGCATTTTTTCCACTACCATTGCATATAAAGAGAAAATTTCCTCAAGCTTTCTGTATGGAAATAAAGTACCTCCGCCACTAGTTTTGGATAGACCTACGTATGTGGCTGGTGTAGACAATTCGAGGCACTCACAAGTGCCAACTTGCATGATTATGACTCTATCTGTGAATCTTTACTGATTGAAACAATATTCATTTGCTCATATTCGACACCTCCAAAAACATTTTTAAGCAAAGACCGTAATCTCAAATCCTAAGCTGACACGGTAACCGTTAAAATAGCGTTTAAGCATCTCAATATGTAAACTAAAAAATGTTTGATTAATCGCTAAAAAATGCGTTAAAACAGTTTCAGATCTATTTTTTAACACTATTTTTATGTTTAAACGCTCAGAGTTATTGAAATTTTCACTGTTTTAACGCGTTTTTGGTGACTAATCAAATATTTTTAACGATTTGAATGATACTGATGGAAAAACCTGTTAACAGTTATTACATATTTCGTGTAAATGTTGAGAATTAATTGAATTCTCTTCCTGTTAAGTGATTAATCGATTATATTCGAATTATAAATTAGATTGATGTTAGATTAATATTTATTCATTTATTACCTGAAAACATTTTAGAGGATTTCTTTCTCTTTCGTCAGTTCATTTACTTTTACATTAAAATTAAATGAACATATAACTACTTATGCATCTGCCTGTTTTTTCTAATAGTAGAATGCAGGATAAAAATACGTAAGTTGAATCATACAATATTACCGGCTTGTCATTCTGTTTTGCTATCAGAAAAAAGAAAAAGACAGACAGATGCAGAAGTAGTAATATGCTCACTTAATTATAATATAAAGGTAAATGAACTGACGAAAGAGAAAGAAATCCTCTGAAACATTTTCAGATAATAAATGAATAAATAAATATTAATCTAACATCAATCTAATTTATAATTCGAATATAATCGATAAATTAATTATAAACATTGACCGACGAATTATTAAGCCAGTTTCTTACACTTAGAATATTACAATCAGAACTGCGATGGTTAATAAATGTTCTATTTGATCTTCAGCAATAGATTTATTTTTATTTGCATCAATTCTAGAGCATCTAAATTTAAAGATGAGATTTAATAATAAGCGACAATTAGGCGTTAGGAAGTCTGAGAATTATCGTATATGCTGAGTTGATTCTGAAATTGGCACGCGACGTCTCTCTATGCATATTAATATGTTTTTCTTCTCTAGAACGAGGATGTTTCTTTTAAAGCTTTTGCATCCGTTGGAGTTTCACATTTTCTTTCATAGTTAGCAAAAAATTCAATTTTCTCCAACGTATCATTCGATATACATACTCGTAGTGAACTTTCTCTATCAAATGTTTCTATTAAAGAACAATTAATCGAATGTGTTGCTATTCTAATCCTTAACATGTAACACGTATGCTGGTATTTTTTATAATACGTTACATACCTTGCTTCTTTTTTCATTCTGAACTATTTACGTAAAAAAAAAGCAATTTATCTAATGTAGATATCTTCATTCTTACACATTTAGCTAAGATATCCATTACAAATACTGAAGTATACACTGATTCTTAATACAGATAGACTTAAGGGAATAACTAATTCAGACAATTACTCTATAAACAAGATGAAACGTATATGGGTATAAGACAAAGAGAGAATGAGAGAAAAAGAAATTTTTCTTTTCTTTGCTTCATATATGCATAGAAATAGAATGAAATAACTCAACTCTAACTTATTTTATAATAGAAAGCAATACGAAAATAAATTGATTTAATTTTCTTCATCGGTAATCCTTATTACTCACATATGCTTGTACTTTTGAAAGTGAGAAAACTGACAGTATTGTCGATATTATATGCTATTCAAGGAAAAAAAAAGAATGATCGATACTTTCCATGTGATATATTAACACGTAGTGATATTATTGATAATTTTCTTTTATCAATTATCAGCTCAGCATTTGAATGTCAATGTTATCTGTTCGCTCAGAAGTATAATTCACAGATTACAACCAAACTACGTAGCATTGATCTTCTTCAATATGCAGTAAAACAAATTTGATATTGGCCAGAAAGATAATGTAATGCTTATAGAAAAAGTCAATATAAAATCACATACTGATAGCTTGAATAGGGTGTGGATGTAATGTGGTCTAGCGATGTTGGACGTCCATATACACTCTCATATTCATACCCTAGTTTTCTACTGTCTCTTGTGCTGGCTAACCTACGAATTAAAATGGCTAGCACGACAAATTGCTCGTTGCGACTCTTCTATCCAGAGAAAAGGCAACAATGACGTATCGAACAACGAGAGATTTCTATCGTTGTGATGTATTTATTCAAATTTTCTATAAATGTCCAGCTGAACATTGGAAGAAATAGATTACATTTCTAGTATTTCACTCGATATTCTTGGTACCTTTCAGTGTTAAATACTTTTCACATCGGTAAAATACATAGTCAATAAACGAGAAAGAAGTTGTCACAGCGAAGATCTTGTATGACAGTAAAGAACTAGCGAATGAACTTGAAAGAAAAAGAATGCATCGTTCCTCACGTTGTCTACTCAAAAAACCCAGTTACAGGTCACAGTATACCGCATAAAAATCCATTTGTGCTTATGATTCCTACTCTCTTTCCATTCAGTTAGAGGTAGAAGTTTATTTGTCTATTCTTGTATTTTTTTTTGCTACGGTTTTGTTGCACATGCGTGTGCTGCTTTCGTTGACTTGCAGGCATGAAAAAATATGAATAAGAGCACTACTCTATATATTGATTACGACTATATAATTTGTTCGGTTTTTTTTCTTATTTCATTTTAGTTTGTATTTGTGTGAAAAATGAGATGAAAGTAATGGATTCAAACACAGAACAAGAATTTCATAATCTGGTTCCTACTGACAATCCTTGTAATATCAAACCATAAAGCAATAGGAACAAAACAACGACATAAACTGCAACCTTCACGAATATCACCTTTGACGATTTTTGTTACAAATATTGAGAGTATTGTAATCTATGCTATGACTTGTGCGTGTGTTATTGTATTCGATGTTTTGGAGGATGGCGATTCCTGAATAATCGCCTTCGAAAGACAGTTATCAAATTAGTATTGAATTTTTTCGCGTCTCTTTGTTTGCATTCTCTGTTGTGACATAATAATCTCAACATCAGTTGATATGTGTAGAATTTATCACACAAATGAATTATAAAATAATTTAAAACTTCCATGTGTTATAGAAGAAACTTATTTAAACAATCCATCAGGATCTACTGGTGGCTATAAGCGTCTATTCACATCTATACCTGTTCCACATCTACCCTCGGTTAATTGTTGGCAGACATTTCCAGACAAGAAACATTACGAGAATTGTATAAAGTCGGTATCTAAAGAAAATAGAATTATTTTGATAGTAGGTAATCAATTGAATCGACAAGTAGTACTTCGCATTTACAATCTTCGTCAAATTCCGTCAATTTATGTCTATTGCATTCACAAGCGACACGAAGAATAGACGAGACAATTCAAAAAAAAAATCAACTACCGCATATCTGGAATATATATTTGAGTCTTTATGATATGTTTGTGTTAACTTCGTTACGTCCATTATGTTTACTTTAGTTAGAAGCTACGAGATAACATGTCTATTCGGATAATGATCGTCGTTTAATTCTTATTCGAAGTCCATATGCAAGTTTCATTGTTAATGAGAAGTCGGGAAAAATAATCTGATCTTCAACCATCTTAAATGTGAAATATTTAAAGAAAAGAGATAAAATCACTTTAGATTCAAGAAGTGCAAAATGTTGTCCGATACAATTGCGATTTCCAGCCGAGAATGGCAAATAACAGAATGGATGCTTGAGTTTCGGTTTGATACCCGTTTCTGGATTCTTTAACCATCGTTTATAATCAAATTGTTCAGCATTCATACCCCAGTATGTTTCTAATCGATGAAGAATATACGTATTTATATGAACAATAACTCCTCGAGGTACAGATATTGGTGGTTGTTTTGAATCACCGCCACCAATGGTATGTTCATGAATGCATTGTCGAATAAAGAATGGTGCTGGTGGATATAAACGAAGTGTTTCATAAATCACAGCTTCGATCACTTGTAATTCATCCAATTTATGATGGTCAAGTTCAGTACCATCCTGTAAAATATGATCGACTTCCTGTAGACAAGCACGATAAACTTCAGGATTGGTCATAACAACATACAAGCACCATGTAATTAAAGTACTTGTTGTTTCATGTCCAGCTAGAATAAAGGCTAATGTTTCTTCACGAATTTGTTCGTTTGAAAAACCTTGATTATTACTATCTTTAGCTGAAAGAAGTAAATCAAGAATATCACTGCCTTGACATTGACTTTGACTAGAACCTTGTCTACGTGCTAGAATGATTTGATCAACAAATTGACGAATTTTGTCTGCACCTTGATCAATTATAGGCTTTTTTATGATGGGAAGCATCGACAGAAAGGGAATCAACAACAGAGGATTAAATAAGCGATGCTGTATAGCATCCAGAACGTCTGTAAATATTTCATGTATGATTTGTTGACTGTTTTGAATGGTTTCGTAATTTTGACCGAATGCTGTAGAGACAATTATCCTTAAAGTTAATGTACTTAATTCTTCTTGCACATCAAGTTCTCTTTTATTCAACCAGTGTTCAAATACCTTTTGTGTCTGCCCTACCATAATAGGAATCATCGATCGTAAGTTAACATAATGGAACGCTGGATTTAACATTCGACGGGAACGTTCATGTTCTTCACCTTCGCTCACCAATAAGTTATGCAGACCGATCACAGGACTAAGAGTAAGTTTATAAAAGTCAGCTTTAATGTAATTTTTCTTTTGAATCTTTAATATGTCTCTAATATAATCAGGTTCATGAACGACAAGACGCAGTTCTGATTTCATGGCTATGAGAAATACGGAGCCATGTTTTGTTTGCAAACTATTGAAATATTCCATTATATGACTATGTTGTAAAAACGAACGAATTTCAAACAGTTGACCGATAACTGGTCGAAAAGGTTCAGCTGGTA